CAAAGGAGCAGATGCTCAAGACGGAGGGCTGTGTCCGTAAGACCATTTAAGAATCAGGGTTTAGGGCTTAGGGATCTTCTCTTGCGAAAGACACACTATATATTCCTGTTCTTACCGATGGGAAAGTCTGGAAATCACTTGAAAGTCATGGAACCGGACGGACTCGACCATGCTCTAGTTTTTTGCAAAGGAGACAAAAGTCATTTGGGTTTAGGGTTTAGGGTTTAGGGTTTAGGGTTTAGGGTTTAGGGTTTAGGGTTTAGGGTTTAGGGTTTAGGGGTTAGGGTTTAGGGTTTAGGGTTTAGGGTACCCTAAATCCTCAACACTAAACCTCTGTCGCTTCGATAAGCCGTGCGGTGCAACGAAGAAGGGGCGCACAAAGGAGCGCAGCTCAGGCCGGGACGATTACGGAGAGGTAGCCGATCATCTCCTGGGCAATTTGTTAAAAGGGGAACGCTTCGATTTCGGGGGTGAGGGATTTAGGGTTTGGAGGGTTTGGGGCTAGGGTTTTAAGGGTTTGTGGAATTAGGGGTTTGGGATCGGATGAGGGAGGTTGGCGCTTGGGAGCTTAGGGGGTTTCGGGCTGTGAGGCGTGTCGGGGTTTAGGGTTCTACGTGGCAATCCCTGTAAGTACAGTTGGACGGAGGGGGAAAACGAAACATGATGGTTTGAAGCCTGGCAGCCTGGGGGGGGGGCGGGGGGGTTCTTTGGGCTGATTTGTTAGCGTCAAATTGCCCTGAACGCGAGGTTGAAGGAATCGAGGTAAATCCTAAACCCGAAACCCTAAGCCCTAAGTCCCTAAACCCTGAGTCCCTAAACCCTAAACCGTAACCCCTAAACCCTAAACCCTAAACCCGAAACCCTAAACCCTAAACACTAAACCCTAAACCCTAAACCACACCGCCTAAGCCCTAAACCCCAAACCCTAAGCCCGAAGGCCTAAGGCCTCAACTCGAACTGCAGAGAAATTTGGTTTTTTTAAAGTGTCTACTAAATTAGGCACCTGGATCCTATAGGAACAACGATTTTAGTTTAGGGTTTAGGGTTAGTGTTTAGGGTTTAGGGTTTAGGGTTCATGGCTGATGCCCGAGGTTCGTCGAACTTGTCCATCTCGCAAAAAGGTCCACTCCAGTGCTTCGGCACCCCACAGGTGCAAGGAAAGAACGGCATCTGCAACGTGTTCGAGGCTTAGGGGTTTAGGGTTTAGGGTTTAGGGTTTAGGGGTTTAGGGTTTAGGGTTTAGGGTTTATTAGGGGCTTAGGGTTTAGGGTTTAGGTCCGGCTTGTGTTTGGGCTCTTGAACCCAGATCTCCTGGTGCCCTACATCCTTCGAAGCCCCTTCAAGCCCCAAAAAAGGACTCCAGTTCACTTGGGACTCGGACTTCTGCGGGCCGCTCTCTCCCTCCCTCCCTCCCTCCCTCCCTCCCTCCCTCCCTCCCTCTCTCCCTCTCTCCCTCTCTCCCTCTCTCTCTCTCTCTCTCTCTCTCTCTCTCTCTCTGAGTCTGGATGTGTGAAAAACAGGTGAGGACAGGACGATGATGATGGGCGTTCAGTGGGTTTGTTGGTTGCAGCAACAGATTGTAACGCGAGATGGCTGGAGCCTCAAGGGTTAGGACCTTCGGGATGTAGGTCTGGTTCCGGGGCTCTGGTTTGTAGGGTGGTGCAATCCGCTCCTTCAGAGCGGCACTTGCTATGAAACCCGAATTTTACAAAAACAAGCCCTTACGACCCATTCCAACCTCCCCATTTCCCATTCCAAACTCACAACTCCTTAAGAACCCTAAACCCTAAACCCTAAACCCTAAACCCTAAACCAGCAGGAGCTTCGAGCCCGCATTCCAAGCCAATGGTGGGTTTCTAAGGCTTCCTTCTCGGGCTCGGGCCTCGGGCTTCGCGCTTGCTCAAAGCCCTGAAGCCCGAAGCCATGAAACCCTAAACCCTAACTAAACCCTAAAACCCTAAAACCCTTAACCCCAAAGCCCGTGAATCTCCTGACGCCCTAAACCCGCAACCCCCCCCCCCTCAAAACGATACATCCCCCCGAGACATCCAAGGCAAAGGCAGGTCATGGGCTTCGGGTTCACGTTCAGGGTTTGGGGGGAGGGGGGGTTCTTGTAGGGCTTAGGGCTTCGGGCTAAGGGTTTAGGGTTAGTCACCAAAAGCTAAACCCTAAACCCTAAACCCTAAACCCTAAACCCTAAACCCTAAACCCTAAACCCTAAACACTAACGAAGTACTGGCGGAGACACCCCGGTTGAGTCGGTCGGAGGTGGCGTGTCGCAGATGCTGGCATGCTGGTTCACACCTCAGAACTTCACTCTGTTAAAGCCGCCTTTAGCAACACTGCTGCCATGATTCTGTGTACTTTGGGCGGGAGCTCGACTGGCTTGGGCGTTCGTGGGGTTGAGGATAATGTCCGAGCTACGGTCGGTTCTTCTGAGCTTCACCACAGAACCACTTGCACTGGAATCATAAAAGGTTTAGGGTTTAGGGTTTAGGGTTTAGGGTTTAGGGTTTAGGGTTTAGGGTTTAGGGTTTATTGTTTAGGGTGTAGGGTTTAGGGTTTAGGGTTTAGGGTTTAGGGTTTAGGGTTTAGGGTTTAGGGTAAACGAACCCTAAACCCTCAACGCTGAAAACCACAAACCATTATCAACCCCCGAGTAGAATAGGGAGTTGTCGAGGGTAAAGCGGCTCAGCCGCAGCTTCTTGATCCCCAACCCTTTTCGGGTACCTCCTCTAGTTAAGTTCCACCACCAGCGGTACCTCCAACATTTCCTGTTTTTGGCATGTCAAGGTGGATGTTGGGGTTCCGGACCCCAAAAACCCTAAACCCTCAAACCCTGAAACCCTCAACCCTAAACCCTAAACCCTCAACTCTCAACCCTGAACCCTAAACCCTAAACTCTAACCCCGCTTCACGGGCCAAGGCGCAGAAGCAGCACACCCAGTAGCGCCGATGGAGCTTGTCTGCCTCCCATGCCATGTCGGTTTAGGGTTTAGGGTTTAGGGTTTAGGGCTTAGGGCTTAGGGTTTAGGGTTTAGGGTCCGCCCACCCTGGGGCACCCCCCCACCCCCCCCCACCCCCCCCCCCCCCCCCCCCCCCCCACCCCCGCCACCCCCCCCAACCCCCCCCCCACCCCCACCCCCCACGCCCCCACCTCCCCCCCACCCCCCCACACCCCCCCGCTCGCATGGTTCGAAAATCATCCCAGAGTTTTGTGAAACGTTTGGGGGAGCAGCTCAAGCCAAAAAGACAGGGGGTGGGGGGGGGGTTTAGACCCTCAACTATGCTCCAGCGGGGTCGGCGGCTTGAGCCGGAACCTCTTAAATTTAGGGTTCAGGGTTTAGGGTTTAGGGTGTAGGGTTTAGGGTTTAGGGTTTAGACTTCAGGGTTTAGGGCACACAGATATGGTAGCTTATAGACTAGGGTTCTGGGTTTAGCTTGAGAGTTTTTCACGACACTAGGGACCTCTCGACTTCATCCAGAGAGATTTCAGGCAAACGATAAGCCCTGAAGAACAGAGGCACAGAAACTTGCAGGGTTTTGGGGTTCTGGGTTTAGGGTCTACGGCTTAGGTTTGGGGTTTAGGGTTTGGGGTTTAGGGTTTAGGGTTTAGGGTTTAGGGCTTAGGGTTTAGGGTTTAGGGTTTAGGGTTTAGGGCCCTAAAGTTTAGGGTTTAGGGTTTAGAGTTTAGGCTTTAGGGCTTAGGGCTTAGGGCTTAGGGCTTACGGTTTAGGGTTTAGGGTTTAGGGCTAGGGTTCAGGGCTATTCTAGTTTCAAAGTCATTCAGAAACCCTCAAAGGTGCCTCCGTGTGGAGGATCGACATCCGGTTTTGTGCCAGCTGCTCTGCCGTGGTCTCGTAGGTCTTCTCCCCTGCCAGCTTCGGTTTCAGGGTTCAGGGTTCAGGGTTTAGGGTTTAGGGTTCAGGGTTTAGGGTAGGGTTTAGGGTCTAGGGTTCAGGGTTCAGGGTTTAGGGTTTAGGGTTTAGGGTTTAGGGTTTAGGGTTTAGGGTTTAGGGTTTAGGGTTTACGGTTCAGGGTTTAGGGTTTAGGTTTAGGGTTTAGGGTTTAGGGTTTAGGGTTTTCGGTTTTGGGTTTAGAGCTTCTCCTGACAGCAGCCCAAACCCGACCGTACGACGGCAACCCTGCACCGGAAGAAAAAGCCACCCACGAAGAAGAACATGAAAACTAAGTCCCAAAACCCCAAAACCCCAAAACCCAACTGATCCAACTAGCCCAAGAAGTCACTTCTAAGGTTGTCTTCGGGTCATCACCGCGAGCGCCCGCGCAACGACAACGGAGGGAGCCCCACGAGAAACCGGCATGCGAGTGGAAGGAAATCTTGAGTTGGAAGTAGGGGGGATGATTGGGGTTTAGGGTTTAGGCTTTAGGGTCCCCCTGAACCCAAAACCCTAAACCCTACCGATTTAGCATGGTTTTTGGTTTTTTTCATTCCGTACTGGTACTGCCAATGGACCCTCTGAGTAAGTAGCCAGACAGCTGCGCCCGTGAAGAGTCTAAACCCAAAACCCTATAATCCCTAAACCCTAAACCCCCAAAAGCTTTGCGACGCGAGCGAATGGCGTGTGGCCTATGGCTTCGGAGAGGATGGCGGCGATCAAGTGGCAGAACTTGTTGCCCCAGTTGTGGGTCACCATGAAGTCCTGGCAGTTTAAGGGTTTGGGATGGGACGTTCCCCCTTAAACTAACAATCCTGATAGGGGGGTACAATATAATCCCTATTATAAATTATAAGGACTGTTTGTATAGGGGGGAATATCCCAAGGCTTGGGGTTAGATTGTTTAGATGCGCTTACAGACGCGTAGGCGTTCGGGTGCCGTAGGCCGAGCCCAAAACATCGCGAACAGACAACAAGCCCGACAACAATGCTAAACCAATGCCTAAACTCTCAATCTCTGAATCCCTGTTAACGCTAAATCCAAACCCAAAACCCGAAACCCTACACGGTAAGCCCGAAACCCTAAACCCTGAACCCTGAACCCTAAACCCTAAACCCTAAACCCTAAACTCTAAACCCTAAACCCTAAACCCTAAACCCTAAACCCTAAACCCCAAGTAGAGGCCTTAAAGTCCTTCCAGGCTGGCCCTTGACTCAGTGACCCCTCAAGGCTTAAGGGTTTAGGGCTTAATTTCCTCGCTTTAAGGTTTTGGGGATTCATGGAGCCCTAACCCCGAGAAACCCTGCAAGTCCTTCCCTACCTGGAAGTTGATCCATTTTGGTTTAGGGTTGAGGGTTCTTGGGATTTTCTTCCAGTCTCTATTTGTTTGCAGACTCCTGACAGCTTTGGGGAGGGGGGGGTGGGTAAGAATGGGTGGGCACTTGACTTTGAGCCCTAAAACCCACAACTTCGTCCCTAAACCCCAAACGGGCCGCATAGCTGGAGGCTGGGTAAGGTTCCCCTCCCTAAACCCTATAATACCCTATACACTGATACCCGAAACCCTAATACCCTAAAAGTCTAAACGCTAAGCCCTAATACCCTAAACCCTAAACCCTAAACCCTAATACCCTAATACCCTAATACCCTAATACCCTAATACCCTAATACCCTAAACCCTAACCCCGAAACCCCTCTGATTCGGCGCCCCAGGTTCAGGGGGGCGATAGTTGCCCTCGGCGATGAGCGTGGCGTAGGAGGACGACTCCAAAGGCTGCGCCTGCCCCGAAGTGGCCAGGCGGGTTTAGGGTTTAGGGTTTAGGGTGTAGGGTTTAGGGTTTAGGGTTTGGGGGTTTAGGCTTGGGTGACCTGGGTGTTTAGGGTCTGGGGTTTGGGGCTTTTGGGGGTTTAGGGATTGGGGGTTGAGTGTTTAGGGTCTAGACCAGGATTAGGCTCAGGGTGTAGTGGGGCTTGAGAGCCTTAGGGTCTACTCGGCTTAGGGCTCAGGGCCCATAATGTAGACAAAACTAGGTACCATACAACCAATGGCTCTGTATATATATATATATATATTTATTTATTTATTTATTTATTTATTTATTTATACTTATATACACACATCGTGCTTGTGTATTCATTCATGTATGTCATGTTTAAGGTTAGGGCCTGTAGGGGCATCGGGCTCCCAGGCGTTGAGGAACCAGGGAACCAGGGGTTGGAGGTTTTGTGGGGATTTAGGCCTGTAGGCCTTGCAGACTTAGGGTCTGCATGTACTCTATATATATACACACACATATATGTATGTGTATATATATATATGTACATATATATATATATATATATGTATATTATATTATATATATATATATATATATAGATATGTATGTATGGATAGCATACACATTTTATAGGACCAGGTCTCAAAGAGTTCTTTGGAGGGTTCAGACATTGAGGGGTTTGGGGGCTCTCGGTCTCCATGCCTTTGGGGTTTCGATCTCCATGCCTGCACCTTCGAGAGAGGGATGATGGCATGGCGGACCACGTCGTGCGTGGTGGCAAAGTTGGCATCGAAGTGGGGCATCACCGCCGGCACCTGGAGCGTGATTGGGCGGAAGGGTTTAGGGTTTAGGGTTTAGGGTTTAGGGTTTAGGGTTTAGGGTTTAGGGTGTAGGGTTTAGGGTTCAGGGTTCAGGGTTTAGGGTTTGGGGTTCAGTTTGTCAAGAATTCAATGAGAGGTTTTACTCCTAGGCCCGAAACTTTCAATTTCAACGCGCACGGATTCTCGTCAGGTCGGAGATTGGAGGAGTCTGTCCCAGTAAACCCTGATATCCAAAACCCGGAACCACACTAAACCCCTAGTCAAGAGGTTTGCAGCTTGGGTCTACGTAGGGGTTTTGAGTGTTTTGGGTTTGGGGGGAGGCTGGGGGGCGTAAAACATGTCACTCTGCTCATGCGGGACTGGGGGGGTTTAGTGTTTAGGGTTTTGGGGGAGGTTAGGGGCCCAAAACATTTCAAAACATGTCATTCAGTCGTCCTTTGTGAGTGGCTTTTCCTGAGCCCTAGATGCTGAACCCCCAAAGCCTAACAACTCCAACCCTGAAAGCCCCTGGCAAAATTCCAAAAAAGAACTCACTACGGTTCAGGCACCAGAGTTTCGGTTCTCGGTTTTGGCGCTACGGGTTCATAGGGGTTGGGGGCTTTGGGAGCTTTGGGGGTTGGGAGGTTTGGGTTTATAGGTTTAGGGTTTTTTTCGGGGTTTGGGGGTCTAGGGGGTTTTAGGGCGTCGGGCTTAGGGTTCGACGAACGCTAGGCGCAGGGTTTCGGGGCCTTCTCCCAGAAGTAAAGGAGCTCCGCCACAGACACACTGCGTGAGGCAAGCTCCTGCCCCAGGAGCTGGGCCATAAAGCCCCTAAAGCCCCTAAAGCCCCTGTAAAGCCCCTGTAAAGCCCCTGTAAAGCCCCTATAAAGCCCCTATAAAGCTCCTAAAGCTCCTAAAGCCGCTGAAGCCCCTAAAGACCCTCTAAAGCCCCTCAAACCCCTAAGCCCCTAAACCCTCAACCTCTACACCCCGAGACCGCCCGTACTCGTCGCAGCACTGCCATGCAGTGCGCTACTCCACCCTAAACCCTAAACCCTAACCCCTAAACCCTAAACCCTAAACCCTAGGCCCTAAACCCTAAACCCTAAACACCAGGCACAGCATCCCTCGCCAGGGTTGCCAACAGAGGGGGCACGGAGCGAGTGGCATCGTAGTGGCGGTCCTGGTATACAACGTAGACCTCTGGCACAACGTAGACCTCTGGCACACACGGCTCGGATGCGTGAACCACGACTTCTGCTGAGCTGCCGATGACGTGGATCAGCAACTTGAACCGCTTGGCAAGCGCCTGAGGCGTGAAGCCGTCGCCCCACGTGCGCCGTTGCATCCGCTTGACGTACCGCGCCAGCGACTCCGCGAAACCCCTAAATCTCGAAACCCCTAAACCCCTAAAACCCCCCAAACCCCGCAACCCCTAACACCCGAAGCCCTGAACCCTAAACCCTAAAACACTGAGCCCCTAAACCCCGAAAACCCCAAGCCCTAAACCCTAAACCCCTAAAACCCAAACCCTAAACCACTCAAGCCCTAAACCCCTAAAACTCCAAAAAAGTAAGCCCTAAACCCCGAAAACCCCAAGCCCTAAACCCGAAACCCCTAAAACCCAAACCCCTAAAAACCCCTAAAACTCCAAAACCCTCAGCCCTAAACCCTAAACCCTGAACCCTGAACCCCTAAGCCCTAAACCCTGAAACCCGAAACCCCCAAACCCCTAAACCTCCCAAACCCCATGCCCTAAATTTTAAACCCTAAACCCTAAGCCCCTAAACCCTAAACCCCTAAACCCCTGACCCTAACCCTAAACCCTAAACCCGAAACCCCTAAACCCTAAACCCTAAACCCTAAACCCTAAACCCTAAACCCCTGAACCCTAAACCTCTAGACCCCGTCTGTCCAGGGATGACGGTGTTCGGCTCAGGAGGGTTTAGGGTTTAGGGTTTAGGGTTTAGGGTTTAGGGTTTAGGGTTTAGGGTTTAGGGTTTAGGGTTGAGGGTTGAGGGTTTAGGGTTGAGGGTTTAGGGTTTAGGGTTCACCAGTCCAGCGCCACGATCTAAGGTTTTGGGGCTTGGGGTTTCTAGCTTTGAAGGGCACCTAACCCCAAAGAAGGGGAATGAGGAGGGCACCGTATGTATACGATTCGGGGTTTCTTGCTGTTTTTGTGAGAAGGGTTTAGGGTCGAGGGCGAAGGTTCAGGGTTCAGAGGAGCCAGGTTGAGGGTTTAGGGTTTAGGGCTTAGGGTTTTTGGGCTTTGGGCTTTGGGCTTAGGGTTTAGGATTTAGGACAGGGTTTAGGGTTTTGGGTTTAGGGCTTCGGGTTCTTTCAGGCTTGCTTGCTTGGTGTCTGCAGGGCCCAGACCCCTCTCCTTCACCTTGATCGATGCGTGAGCGGCCTGGCCAAGGCGTGTGGCATGCAAAGTTGGGCGGTTAGGGTTTAGGGTTTAGGGTTCAGGGTCCGCCGACGGGGAGGGAACCCTCCCCCTCCCCTCCCTTACACCCCCAAAAACCTTGAAACGAAACGTGGTGGGGGAGGGGGGTTGGGGGGGGGGGGTCGGTGCACAATTTTTTCGTGGGGGACCGTGGCAGCACGATGTAAACGCACCGACCATAGGCGGTTCAGCACAGGGGGTAGGGCTCCTTTGGCACCCCCCCACCACGCGCCCCACCCCCACCACGCGCCCGCCCACCCCCCCACCCCCGCCTCCTCCCCCCACTCACCCCCCCCCCACTCCCCACCCCACACTCCCCACCCCCACCCCCTTTTCACCCCCCCACCCCGCAGCCCCCCGCAGCCCCCCACACCCCCACACCAATACCCGACAGCCCAACCAAACCTGCCCCGAACCCAAAGCCCTCACCTACTCTAAAGAGAAGAGCATTAGACCCACAGAGGCTCACAACCTGGAGTGAGGGTTCTTGAGGGATTAGGGTTCTGGGCTTCTGGGTATAGGGTGTGGGGGGGTCGGCGGTGAGCCGGAGGCTCCTAAATTTTAGGGTTTAGGGTTTAGGGAGACCCTAAACCAGGAAGCCTTAAGCACTTTCCTAATCCCCGAACCTTGAAACCCACGAAGATCCAAGGCTAAATGGCACCCACAACCTAATTGGTGGCTTTCACACCTCAACCCTAAACTCTAAACCCTACAGACCCTAGACCCTAAGCCCTGGACCCTAAACCCCAGCCCCAGCTAGGGGAGGAGCAACGGAAAGCACCGTAGGACATGTTGAACCCTATCGGGGTGGGACGAAGAAGCTACACGAGTTGCCCAAACCCTAAACCCTAAACCCTAAACCCTAAACCCTAAACCCTAAACCCTACACCGTAAACCCTAGCCCCAGCAAGATGCTGGGGGCGCGTGAAACCTAAGATCCAAAAAGCACTTCTAGAAAGCTCCTTCTACATCGGAAAGCCCATGGACCGACCAACGCTTCTAGCTGACCGTTCTTCTGTCTTGGGGAGGGGGGGAAGGTACAGGGTATAGGGTATAGGGTTTAGGGTTCAGGGTTTAGGGTTTAGGGTTTAGGGTTTAGGGCTTAGGGTTTAGGGCTTCGGGTTTAGAGTTTGGGATCTGCGGGCTAGGGGATTAGCCCGAAACCCTAAGCCCTGCAGAGAGGGCTCTGCAACCTACTGGTTCTCAGTAGGGAATGAAGGAATTAGCTACCCTATAGAATCCCTTATACAAATGGAACAATACGTGTATCATAAATCTATATATATATATATATATATATATATATTTATTTATTTATTTATTTATTTAGTTATTTAGTTATTTACATTTATTTATTATTTATTTATTCATTTACTTAATTAGTTATTTATTGATTTATTTATTTTTATTTATATTTCTGTATCGCGGGCTATACTGTATCTACGGGAAGTTATCTGGCCCCTTGCTGTGGTCCTTTACCTTAAAGGGTTCTGACATCTGGGCCCGGTTTAGGGTTTAGGGTTTAGGGTTTAGTGTTTAGGGTTTAGGGTTTAGGGTGGGTACAGAAGGGGTGCATCAGGGGTTCCCAATTCAGGGCCCATACTGAGGGACCATGCAACTATCATAAAAATGTACTTAAGACCCTCGTTCCCTAGCAACCAAACCCAAAACCCAAAACCCAAAGCCCAAAGCCCAAAGCCCCAAGCCCAAAGCCAAAAACCTAAGACACTTAACCCTAAACCCAAAACCCTAAACCCAAAACCCTAGACCCTAAACCCTGAACCCTAAACCCTAACCGGTAGGACAAGGCCTGCTTGGGCAGCTTGAAGTGCAACTTTGGGTGCCCATCCCTGACCAGCTCGGGCCTATCCGGGAGGCGGCTGCTGCGCTTTTACTTTTTGTTTTTCTGTTTTGGGGAGGGGGAAGGTAGAGGGTTTAGGGTTTAGGGTTTAGGGCTTAGGGCTTAGGGCTTAGGGCTGAGGGCTGAGGGCTTAGGGCTTAGGGCTTAGGGCTTAGGGCTTAGGGCTTAGCTGCTGTTTTTGTTTCCCCCCCCCTTCCCTTGTTTTCGGGAGGGGGGGGGAAGGTTTCGGGTTTACGGTTCAGGGTTCAGGTTTAAGGCTTTTAGGGTTAGGGTTTGAGCTCAGGGTTTAGGGCTCGGGTTTGAGTAGGCAGCAGGTCTGAGCATTTTGAGGTTCAGGGGTTTGTGCCTTTTTCTGTTTTTTTTTTTTTTTTTTGGGGGGAGGGGGGGTAGGGTTTAGTGGTAACTGCGAACTTCTACGTCCGTTCCAACACCTGTCACCCTAAACCCTAAACCCTACACCCTGAGCCCATCTCATATTAGCTAGTACCGGAATGCACAACAAAGAAACTTCCAGGGTCAAATCCAATGAACGACCGTAATGTATTCACCGTAGGGCTTAGGCTTGGGGGTTTGGGGTTTGGGGTTCAACACGTAGGCTCCAAGGGCTATAAACCTTAAAACCCTAATTACACCCTAAACCCTAAACCCTAATTAAACCCTAATCCCTAAACCCTAAACCCTAAACCTTAGAACCCTACACCCTGCAGCCTCCCCACAGGCCTTCGGCTCTTGACGTAGCGGACAGCAGAAGCAAGGAGAAACGCCATGCCAATCCTCAGAGTCCAGGTTTTAGGGTTAAGGGGTTACTGATTTCTATGTTTATGATTATGACTACTATTAATACAAAAAACACCATTCTTATTATGATTATCACTATTACTATCTGTATTCTATTATTGTCACGATCATTCTTCGCATGATTGTTCTTATCCATTATTAATATCATTAGTTTTACTTTTTCTTCTTATTATTATCTAATGTTTTGAACAGTATTCTTATTATCATTGTTGTCGTTAGGGGTTGGGGTTGAGGGGTTTGGGTTTAGGAGTTGGGGTTTAGTGGTTCGGGTTTCCAGGGTCTGGGGTTTGGAGTCTTTTGCGTCTTTGGGCTTAGACACTCTCAGGTATGGCTTAGGGCTCAGGGTCGAGGAATGGGGCATTGAACATTGGGGCTTGGTCTGTCGGGAATTTGGGTTTCCGGGTCGTGGCTGTCGTGGCTGTCGGGGTTTGGGGATCCCAACAACAGCAGCTCTTGTATGCATGGGAGCGTTGGCGCGCGGCAGATTCCAGAGCGGTGTCCAATGTGCTTCAAAGAGTTAGGGTTTAGGGTCGAGGTTGCTGCAGGCGCTACAAAAAGCTTGCGGAGCACCGAGAAGCAGACACCCTAAACCGTAAACCCAAACCCTAAACCCTAAACCCTAAACCCCAAACCCTAAACCCCAAACCCTAAACCGCGATGCAAGGGCCTCTTAGGGCCAACTTCACTGGGTTCCCTTCACTGGCGAGCCCTAAAGTCTAAAACTAAAACAACTTAGACACCAAAGCCTACTTGGAGAATCAGGGTACATATAACCCCAACCATCACTGTTACAAGTGTATTTATAAGCCCCCTGAGTCCTGCAGGTTATACGTAGACTTGTAGTTAAGGTTCTGAGTACCAACCTCCAAGAAATCCCTGCGCTCAGGCTAGACACGGCTGCACTATGGCGATGCGCACGACGATGATCGCAAAGGTCAGCAACCATTTCCTCGTCTTCTGACTTTTTTTGGAGTTCAGGAAACAGGGTCTATATAAAGGTTCGTTGTTAGCAGGGCAAAAACTCCGATGCATGATGCAATTGAAGGTTTTGGATGTTTTGGGAGGTGTAGGACGCCAAAATCTGAAACCCTGAGCCCGGAACCTGGGGTTTAGGATCTGCTCCCGTTTGTTTTTCGGTTGCTGGGGCCCTTCGTACGTTCGGCCCCCAGCCAAACTTCCAACCCTATTCCCTGAAGGGTTTAGGGTTCAGGGTTTAGGGTTTAGGGTTTAGGGTTTAGGGTTTGGGGTTTGGGGTTTGGGGTTTGGGTTTAGGGTTTAGGGTTTAGGGTTTAGGGTTTAGGGTTTAGGGTTTAGGGTTTAGGGTTTAGGGTTTAGGGTTTAGGGTTTAGGGTTTAGGGTTTAGGGTTTAGGGTTTAGGGTTGGTTTATGGTCAGGGCCACAATTCCCCCTAGTCAAACCACGTAGCCGAAAAGCCCCAAATGCTTTCGGATTCTGCTAGCTCGGACCGCTTCAGGCGCCACGAACTATAGATTCCCCCACACCCTAAACCCTAAACTCTAAACCCTAAACCCTAAACCCTGAAACTTGAGTCCCTTACTAATCCAAACTGAGACTCCATTGGTCCAGCTCGCTGAGGTTCGCAATGAAAAGCGCAATGAACATGCAACCTCAGGTGCAGGGTTTAGGGTTTAGGGTTTAGGGTTTAGGGTTTAGGGTTTAGGGTTTAGGGTTTAGGGTTTAGGGTTTAGGGTTTAGGGTTTAGGGTTTAGGGTTTAGGGTTTAGGGTTTAGGGTTTAGGGTTTAGGGTTTAGGTTTAAGGGTTTAGGGTTTAGGGTTTAGGGTTTAGGGTTTAGGGTTTAGGGTTTAGGGTTTAGGGTTTAGGGTTTAGGGTTTAGGGTTTAGGGTTTAGGGTTTAGGGTTTAGGGTTTAGGGTTTAGGGTTTAGGGTTTAGGGTTTAGGATTTTGCGGAAATTTGGACCAGGCTTAGGGTTGAGTACATGGGAAGTCAAGGTCGCAAGCACCTCATATATTCTGGAAACTTTACGGGGTATCCGAGGTGAAAAGCCGTCGCAACTACGCATGTCCTTCAACTCCTAAACCCTAAACCCTAGACCCTAAAACTCGAACTCTATAATTCAGTAGGGTCTGGGTGGAGTTCGGGCTGCTGGACAAGACCTCCGCCCTGTAGCAGCCCCAATGAACCGTTTACTCTTTCACCTTAGGGTTTAGGGTTTAGGGTCCACTGTAGGGTTTAGGGTTTAGGGTTCAAAACCCTAACCCCAAGCCCTACACCCAAACCCTAAATCCCAAACCCATGACAGACAACCGCGGATCACAAACGGTTAGACTACATCCTTAAACCAAGTCACAGAAGAGCGTGTAGAAGGAGCTGCCCACCCAGAAGAGGGAGTCCTGCCCATTGTTTAGGGTTTAGGGTTTAGGGTTTCGGGTTTAGGGTTTAGGGTTTAGGGTTTAGGGTTTAGGGTTTAGGGTTTAGGGTCTAGGGTTTAGGGTTTAGGGTTTAGGGTTTAGGGTTTAGGGTTTAGGGTTTAGGGTTTAGGGTTTAGGGTCTTTGCAAGCCCAAACCCTCAACCCTCTTCAGCAGACAACCCTTCTTATAGGCTGCCGTACTATGGCTGGGGACCCCAAGAGGGATTTAAACCCTAAACCCTAAACCCTAAACCCTAAACCCTGAACCCTAAACCCTGAACCCTAGACCCTAAACCCTAAACCCTAAACCCCTAAACCCTTCCTGAAACACAAGCCCTGAGGAGGATCGGGAAGGTGACCGAGAAACTCTGCACCTTTGGGCTCTAAACCCTAGCCCCTAGAAGCCCAATAGACCCCCTTAGGGCCCCATGAAACCCTTGAAATATAAGCGCTAGAAACCCTCCCTAACCCTAAACCCTTAAACCCTTAAACCCTGAACCCTGAACCCTAAACCCTAAACCCTAAACCCTCAACCCTCAACCCTAAACCCTAAACCCTGAACCCTCCCTTTCCCTTCTTTACCCGATGAGGCCCCTGGGCGTCCTGCAGCTGCCAGAACATGATCTGCTTCTCCCGGGTGTAGCTGCCCCGGGCGGCCTCGTCCACGAAGCTGCGCTGCCACCTTTGGGATTTAGGGTTTAGGGTTCCGGGTAAGGGGTTTAGGGTTTAGGGTTTAGGGTTTAGGGTCTAGGGTTTAGGGTTTAGGGTTTAGGGTTTGGGGTTTAGGGTTTGGGGTTTAGGGTTTAGGGTTGAGGGTTTAGGGTTCAGGGTGGGGGCCTGGGGCCGCCATGCAAGATGAACAAAGTCTTACACAAGACTACTATTCGCTTAACTAAGAACCCTCGGAAAAAAACACGAGACGTCTTCACCCTTGTAAGGGCAACATAGGGATTGTCATGTTGTAACTCTTGTGGGAGGTTCTGACGCAAATTGTAGAAGATTTACAGCATCCCAGAACCTCCACATCACGCCTCAGAACACTTACACGTGAGGGATAACTTGCACGGCGCTGATCTTACTAGGAGTGAGGGAATGAGGTACGCAAAAAGATTCCTAAATATAGTCCTCCCCAATAATCCCTTCCCCCGTTTATTAAGCATACCCGAATAATCAAGCAATTTCCCCGGAAACTCCTGCCGAAACCGACCCCGCCTTTCAAACCCTATTCCGAATTAGGGGGGGGGGGGGTTCAGGGCTCCCAAAACCCTCAAGCCAACCAACATCCTGAAGCTCCCGCCCTACAGCCATCCCTTCCCTTCCAGTCATTTCGCAGCACCTCAGGGTTGAAGTCACTACTTTAACCCTCAAACCCTGAAGCCTAGACCCTAAACCATTTGAAAACATCCCTCTATACATTAAAAACACATTTCGAGTTTCTATTGGGGGGGGGGGGGGGGGCCACCCCAAGGGGTTTAGGGTTTGGGGTTTGGGGTTTGGGGTTTGGGGTTTGGCACTTGGGGGCCGGGGGGGTGGGGGAGGGGGTTCTCAACACTGTATTTAGGGGTCCGGGGTTACGGTTTTGGGTTTCGGGTGACCCTAACTAGTGGAAACTCCGTGAAGGCTTCTGGAACTGAGATTTGAATGCCAGCATGCCAAAAACCACGCCACATATCGACCATTGTCCCTAAGCAGCCCTAGATACACAACAAAAAGCCGCTAAACCCTTGATCCTACTTCAACTGATGCCCAGGAGCATGTGCGCAAGCAGCGAGATCGGAAAGCTGACAAAGGAGACGGAGATGAATCCGATCAGCACGAAGCCTAATATAGGGGTTTAGGGTTTAGGGTTTAGGGTTTATGGTTTAGGATTTAGGGTTTAGGGTTTAGGCTTTCGGGTGATAGGGGCCCACGGAAATTGAAGAAACTGCAATCTCACATGGGGTTCCGCGTTGAGGGCTTCGAGCCTTGGGGGCATCTTGGTCATCGTTTAGGCTCCTGCAGGAGCAACATTCGTCTTTCAAGGGCCGGCTCACCCTAAACCCTAAACCCTAAACCCTAAACCCTAAACCCTAAACCCTAAACCCTAAACCCTAAACCCTAAACCCTAAACCCTAAACCCTAAACCTTAAACCCTAACCCTAACCCTAAACCTGCGCGTTTCAAGGCTACAGTGCAATGTGAAATGCAAACCGTAAACTCTTGTGACTGAATGCTTGTGTCTAGTTTTGCGGTCATTCCATATCATGGACCTTCGCTGAACAAGCCCACCCTGTGCTTGAGTATACGGCGACAAGTAAACGAGTCTAATATAATAAACACCCAAAAAAACAATAAACCCCAAACCCCGAAACACTAAAGCCGCAGAACCCCAAAAAAGTTCGGGCCAGCAGCGTGCCATGGACATCCGGGCGTCTGCGCAGTCCTCACAAGCATCCTAAAGCTGGGTTTGGGGCTCGCGTGGTATCAGACTTCCAGTTGAGGAGTGAACCCTGAACCCCAAAACCCAAAACCCTAAACCCTAAACCCTAAACCCTAAACCCTGAACCCTGAACCCTAAACCCTGAACTTTACACAGCTTAGGGTTGAGGCTTTTGGGGTACGGCGTGTGGGGTCCAGGGTGAGAGGGCCTTCCGGCCAGAATCTGCCCAAACGAAAACTTGTCCAGCACCTAAACCCTAAACCCTAAACCCTAAACCCCAAACCCCAAACCCTAAACCCTAAACCAAAAGAAGACTCGTGTACGAAACCCAATCCCCAAGCTTCATCAGAAAACTACCACCTGAACAGAGCCCACTGCACTTAAACCCTAAACCCTAAACCAAAAGAAACCCTAAACCCTCGACACTAAACCCTAAGCCCCAAACCCTAAACCCCAAACCCCACACCCAAAACCCTACACCCCAAACCCTAAACCCTAAACCCCAAACCCTAAACCCTAAACCCCAAACCTCAAACCCAAACCCTAAACCCCAAACCCCTAAACCCCAAACCCCACACCCCAAACCCTAAACCCTAAACCCTAAACCCTAAACCCCCAAGACCTACGACCCACCTCCGGGCTTCGGCTGCTCGTGGCGGACCCGGTGACGCCGAAGAAGAAGGCGGCGACCACCTGTGAGTCTGGGGCTTTGAGGGGTGTAGGGTTTAGGGTTTAGGGTTTAGGGTGTAGGGTGTAGGGTTTAGGGTTTAGGGTTTAGGGTGTGGGGTTTAGGGTTTAGGGTTTGGGGTTTGGGGTTTGGGGTTTGGGGTTTGGGGTTTGGGGTTTCGGGTTTCGGGTTTCGGGTTTGGGGTTTCGGGTTTCGGGTTTAATTAGGGTTTTGGCAGGGGAAACCTAGGAATAAAAAGGATGCCCTTTTTCTGGTTTAAAGGGGCTTGCAAGGGAACCCAAACCCGAAAAGGAGTGAATAAGGGCCTACTCTGGATCCTGGTTAGGGAATCTAGGGATTGCAGGGCTTTTTTCTAGGGACTTTTAAGATTTTCAGGGTTGTTGGGATTTTCGGGGCTTTGGGGATTTCAGAGATTGGAGGGATCTCGCGTCTTTTGGAGAGATTTTTGGCGGTTTTCGGGACTTTAGGGATGTAAGGGATTTTAGGGCTTCTAGGGGCTATAGTAACAGGGATCCTAGACATCCAAACCCTAAACCCTAAACCCTAAACCCTAAACCCTAAACCTCAAACCCTAAACCCTAAACCCTAAACCCCAAACCCTAAACCCTAAACCCTAAACTCTCAGGAACTTTATAGGGACTCTCGGGTGTCACAGGTTTAGGGCTTCGGCTCCGTGGCTGCAAAAAACCAACAGCCACGGCCGCCCCCTTCCGAAGCCAGTCCCCCAATAAGCAACCTTACACCCTTGAAACACCCTAAAACAGTTTAGGGCCTTAGGATTTAGGGTTTATGGGTTTATAGGGCTTAGGGTTTAGGGTTTAGGGGTGAGGATTTAGGGTTGAGGATTTGGGGTTCGGGTTCATGGTTTAGGGCTTGGGGGGGGGTTCGGAAGCGCCCCCCGCCCCCACCCCCAAGCCAACCCCCCGCCAAAGGGGCACCCGAAAATATTCTCGACTACTTCGGTCGTCGATTCTCGGGGTTGCCCCTTCGTGTGGAAGTTTGGAGACCTGATGAACTTAGGACCCAAAGGAATGAGGGACTTCGGTTTGAGCCCAAAACCCTGAACCCTCTCCCGGAGATGTGCCGCCGCGCGGCCAGCGCGCCCAGCATCACATCTGCTTTGAGCTTGATCCTGGGTTGGAGAGTGAGGAGCTTTGCGGTTAGGGCTGGATTGGTGTTTAGGGTGTGTAGTGTCTGAAAGGCTGCCCTAAACCCTAAACCCTAAACCCTAAACCCTAAACCCCGGGGGGGGGGGGGGGGGGGGGTTGCTTTAGATCAGGACTCAACCTCCTACAGCAAAGGGAGTGGATGGAACCCACCAGCCCTGGGAAACCCCAATGCCAACAACCTAACACAGCTCAACCCCCAAAGCCCAACCCCTAAAACCCTGCCCCTAATTGAACCCAACATGTATAACTCCTAACGGGCCTTACTTGTACCCGGAAACAGGCGCCGAAACACCGAAACACAAAAAAAAACATAAACCCCAAAACTGTATATGGCCACGTCCCTAAAATGTGGTCCCTTTGGGGGTCCCCTTATTATTAATGCCTCCCCTCTTGTTCGGGGCACCCCAAAAAGGGACCAACATTTGGAGAACTGACCAAAAAAACCTCTCGATCCCTAAACCCTAAACCCGAAACCCGAAACCCTAAACCCTAAACCCTAAACAAATCAAACCTCTCAAACCCTAAACTCCAGTTCTCCAGAGATCGAACAGAGATTAAAGTTTCGGGTGGGTATGCCAGGAGCCAGTACGGATCGCAGCAACGTTTTGCTCATGGTTTTAGGGTTTAGGGTTTGGGGTTTAGGGTTTAGGGTTTGGGGTTTAGGGTTTCATGGACACTTTCTGCAGACGCGCTGAAGAAGCATGCGAGCCACTTCCATGCAATCTATGTCGACCGTCCAAACACTGCACCTCAAGCGGAGGATTTCTCAGACAGCTTGGCCGCCAGAAGGGTCAACAGCAATCTGGTCACTCCCTTCAGTCAACAACAGCTGGACTGAAGTGTGACCTGCGTCACGCGCAAGGGCAAACGCCGTTCTGCCAGCACGGTCTGTTAGGTCCTTCGCAGCACCAGCTTCCAACAGCAAGCGTACCACCTCAACATGTCCTTGAAGAGATGCACGCATAAGAGCTGTTCTACCAGCTGTGTCCTGTATATCTATGGAAGCACCTGCTTCCAACAGCAAGCGTACCACCTCAACATGGCCATTCAGAGACGCAAGACTCAGAGCCGTGCCGCCGTTCTCGCTCACGTTCAAGGCAACACCAGCATTCAACAGCAAGCGCACCACGTCAACATGGTTGCGGGAAGATGCGCAAAGAAGAGCTGTCCCACCAGATCCGCTGCTGTCCGAGGCCGCAACAGCACCCAACAGCAAGTGCACGACGCCGGCATGGCCATTGCGCGATGCAATTATCAGAGCCGTGTTGCCAGCTCCGTCCTCCCAGTCTGCGGCAGCGCCTGCTTCCAACAGCATTCGGACGACCTCGACATGGCCTCCCTTAGATGCCTCAGAAAGAGCTACGAGGCCCATGTTGTGTTTCGTCAAGTCCGTGACCGCGCCGGCGTCCATCAGTAATCTCAACTCCTCAACCCGGCCATTTCGCGACGCGCGCTGAAGAGAGATGCGGGCCGCCTTCGTCACGACGTTGCCGGTGTCGGCCTTCACGAGAAAGCGCGCAACCTCAAGCTCGCCTGCCTCAGCTGCGTCCAAGAACTCACGAGCCGCCTGGGGTGGCACACTGGACGACACGATCAGCTGCAACTCCATGGAAGCAGACACCAACCTAGTTCATGGTTGAGATGTATGTGTACATATATACATATATACATATATACATATATACATATATACATATATATATATATTATATTCCGGAAATTGGGTTTAAGTACCCTTTAAAGATGTAAA